GAAATTTTCCTGCGAAAAAATTCGTATGAATGAAAATTTGTGGTTTAAAATTTAAAATATAAGATGAAAATTTTTTGAAAAATAATGAAAATTTACAGAAAATTAAAGAAACAGCAGGAAAAGATGATCCGGATCCGGCAGCATTCCTACTTGCTGTAAAAGAAGTAAATAGACTTCTGGAGAATGATCAATTCCCAAGATTTAAACGATCTGATGTTTATATTAATTTCCTGGAAAAAGTTATGCCACGATCATATGCTGATAAATGGGCAACTAGTTTTGAAGCACTTGTTGGAAATCAGGTTTAAATCCCTTTTTTTTTTTCTTTTCTAATTTTATTTATTTTATATTTTTCTATCTAGCAAATATAAATTTCTTACTTGTACAATACTTTACTTACTCTTACCTTTTTTTTTTTTTTTCATTTTTCATATTTAAACTCATCAATATATTATATCATCGAAATTTAAAAAAATTATTCTTTGACCTTTATTAAGCTAAAACTTTTACAATAATTCAAAAAATTGGGTTCAAATTTTTTTTTTTTTTGTTTCTAATTTTGGGAAAGAAAATTTGCATGGAGGTTTTAATCAAAAAAAAAACAAATTAATTTTGTATATATTAAATTTTTGAAATATCATATATAGAAATAATTTTAAATGTTAAAAAAATTTTTTATTTAAATTCAAATTTTAGGTTGGTCGATATTATTTCCGCTATTTCCTGCGAAGTATTCATGCCGAAGAAAATTTACGTTTTTGGGAAGCGGTAATTGAGTATAAGCAAACCAAAAATAAAAGTACTGCAATGCTTAATATGGGTCGAAATATTCAAAAACAATATTTGGTTGAAGGAACAACCAATGAGGTTAATAGTCTAGCATTAATTTTTAATTAAATTCAAATCATCGTTAATATTGAAATTAAAATGGCTAAGCAATTAATAAAATAAACAACCACAACAACACTAACTGAGATAATATAGTAGCCATTGGTAGTAACAAAAAATAACAAAAATAACAATGACAACAACAATAATAAAAAACAATAATAACAGCGAAAAAAACAATAGCAAGAGCAACAACAACAAAAACAACAGCAAAAAACAACAACACAACTAATAACAATAGTAACAACAAGCAACAACAACAACAACAACAACAACAACAACAACGAAAATAACAACAGTAACAACGAGCAATAACAACAACAGCAACAACGAAAATAACAACAGTAACAACGAGCAACAACAACAACAACAACAAAAGCAACAGCAAAAAACAACGAAAATAATAACAGTAACAAAAGCAACAACAATAACAACAACAAAAACAACAATAACAATAGTAACAAGAAAGAAAAGACAACAACGAAAAGAATAATAACAGCAACAACAACAACAACGAAAATAATAACAGCAGTAACAACAAGCAACAACAACAACAACAACAAAAACAACAGCAAAAAACAACAACGAAAATAATAGCAACAGTAACAACAAGCAAAAACAACAAAAACAACAACAGCAACGGAAACAACAATAACAACAGTAATAAAAAACAACAACGAAAAGAACAATAACAGTAACAGAAAACAAAAACGAAAAGAACAATAACAGTAACAAAAACAAACGAAAACAACAATAACAATAGAACCAGCAAAAAACGATAACGAAAACAACAATAACGACAATGAAAACAACAATAACAACAGCAATAACAAAAAACAATGAAAATAACAACAAAAACAACAATAGCACTAACAATAACATTTGCATGAACAATAATAATATTCACATTAAGAAAAAATAACCTTATTAATTTTACTATTTATTTGAAATATTTGCAAAAACACAATATACCATGTATTAATATATTTTAACATTTCAATAATAATTTCATCGATCAAAGGTTATAAAAAAAAAAAAA